GCTAGTTAGCACTGTGACTAGAACTAACACAAGACCTAGAACTAGAAACATTCGGATTTAGCCGAACGTCTTTCAAGACGGCTAAACCCGAATGGTTCTAGTTTCAGGTCTTTTGTTAGTTCTAGTGATTGTGTCAGTGTAAAACTAGAACTCACACTAGACCTAGAACTAGAAACATTCGGGTTTAGCCGTACGTCTCTAAAGACGGCTAAACCCGAATGATTCTAGTTTTAGGTCTTTTGTTAGTTCTAGTGATTGTGTTAGTGTAAAACTAGAACTAACACTAGACCTAGAACTAGAAACATTCGGATTTAGCCGAACGTCTTTCAAGACATCTAAACCCGAATGGTTCTAGTTTTAGGTCTTTTGTTAGTTCTAGTGATTGTGTTAGTGTAAAACTAGAACTAACACTAGACCTAGAACTAGAAACATTCGGGTTTAGCCGCACGTCTCTAAAGACGGCTAAACCCGAATGATGCTAGTTTTAGGTCTTTTGTTAGTTCTAGTTATTGTATTAGTGTAAAACTAGAACTAACACTAGACCTAGAAAGTATCGGTTATGCCGTGCGTCTTCAGACCGTTAGTTCTAGTTTTAGTTTAATAGAAACTATGAATATAGTGATATCTAGTGTTAACTAGCGCTACTTAGCACTGTGACTACAACTAACACAAGATCTAGAACTAGAATCATTTAAATTTAGCCGTCTTGAAAGACGTGCGGCTAAACCTGAATGTTTCTAGTTCTCGGTATAGTGTTAGTTCTAGTTTTAGTTCAATAGAAATAATTATATATAGAATATAATTAAGTAATGATATCTAGTGCTAACTAGCGCTAGTTAGCACTGTGACTAGAACTAACACAAGACCTAGAACTAGAAACATTCGGATTTAGCCGAACGTCTTTCAAGACGGCTAAACCCGAATGATTCTAGTTTTAGGTCTTTTGTTAGTTCTAGTGATTGTGTTAGTGTAAAACTAGAATTAACACTAGACCTAGAAAGTAATTAGTTCAATAGAAACTATGAATATAGTGATATCTAGTGTTAACTAGCGCTACTTAGCACTGTGACTAGAACTAGAATCATTTGAATTTAGCCGTCTTGAGAGACGTGCGGCGTATTAAATAGATAACATAATTCTTTTGATATCTTATCGACAATTTCCATCTTACGTCTTTTTAATTTATTTAGGTTTTTTTTACGATTTAAATGTAAATTGAATTGAATACGGTTCTGGAGCTTAATGATTTCGTCGAAACCGTCGGTTTAGTTTTTTTGATAATAGTTAAGTCTGAATTCTCAAATTTTTATTTTCGCCAGAACCCCAGAAACGTCTAATGACCGGTCTCGCTGAGACACCCTGTATTTTTGTGTAATTAACAGGTCTGGGGATGGGGTGAGAGAGAGTTTGGAAGGGACATCAGAAAGAGAAAGATTATATTTGATGGGTTAGTGAGGAGTGCAATGATGTACGGGGCAGAAGTGTGGGGATGGAAGAGGCAGGATATTCTGAGCAGTTAAATATGAAGAAATGATAGATAGAAGACCATACTACGGGATTCTGGGGGAGTGTTGGAAAGGAAGAGGTGGAGATGTGAGGGGAGGTAAGCGACCAAAGACAGGAGAGAAGGAAGATATTTTACATTCTCCCAACCGATGAAAAATTTTGAAGTAGTCAATTAAGACATATTGAAAGATTTTCGCAGTTTCATTAATACAAACCATTTAAATAATCAGTGATCTTGTTCTAAAGGAAAATCAATTTGATTGGTTGCCAAATCAATTAAACCACGAAAACTAAAAATCATAAAATTAAGATGTTGGTCTTTATCCACTTTTCATTGTGAGGTTTTCGACTATTGTGTACTAAGACTGCGAAGATGGTCGCGAGAGATTATAGGCAATGTCGCTTGCGCCCGATGTGCTCCAAACGAGACCATTAAAGATAAAGCGCGATCGAGGTGTACACAATGAATGTGGAAAATCCAAAATCGCGGTGTTTCATTTTCTCCGTAATGCAACTACTTCTTTTTATTTATATTGGTTAAATATATTATTATTTTTGATGTTTGAAAATAAAATATAAAGAAGAAAAAAATAAAAATATATTTGTAGTTCTAAAAGGTGAAAGGATTGAACCTAAAGGTGTAATATACATTCGTGGGCGTAACAGGGTATACGGGGTTAAGCTGGTCTCTGGGGAAGTAGGCCTTACCGTTGTCCCTCATCCAATGGTTCATGGCTCTGGGAGAAGCTTCGACGTAACACTGGACCAGGACATCGCTAGCTACCGGAGCTCCGACAAGCTGGTTCGATACTCTGATCAAAGGATGGACTGTGGGATAAAGCGTGGTATTAAATATTGTGATTTAAGCGAATTTGTCGAGGATTGTGGACTTACAGTGAACACGAACTGTAAAGCGCTTGCTGACTGTGGGTGGAACCCCATTGCTGGCTATGCAGAGATAAGAACCCATGTCGGTCCTTTGCACGTTGGTCAATACGAGTGTGTCACCCTCGAAGGACCGTAGTACTGAAAGAAATAAAGAAAAAAATTGGTCTGACGCGAATTTATTGAAATGCGCTACGAAATTCTTTTAGATACGAGAAATAAACGCTCAAAAACGAGCCGTCAAAAATGTAGGGAAGATAAGTCTCGCGAGGTGTCGTGAATAAACGCGGAGATTTATTCAGGTAGAAATAATTTTAGAAAATGTGATATGCACGCCACGCGGACAATGCGCCTGCAAACAATGCGGGTAAATTCCCTTATCGTGCCCTACCTAAAGTAGATTCCGAATGCGTCACCTTTAGCAGATCGCAACTGTGCGAGATAAACAAAATGTTCGAACATAAGAACCCCTTTAAGTTGATCGGTATTTCTTCTCCCTTAAATTAAACGAGAATCCTACGATATTTGCAAAGAGTACCGATGTTTAAAACAACCCTAAACGCCTTTATGTCGCCGGAATAAACTCGAAAAGCGATGGAAACCGACGCTATCTCCCTCCGTCTCGTATTTAAATCCTTTAATCGTGACAACTCCGCAAATGTCTTCTCATTCTTTCACGTGACCCCGTTTAATATCTGGGAAGGTATGAATCCGAGGGATAAAATAATATAGAGTGCGCCTTTTGTCCCGGCCTAGGTGCAAAATTTCATTTTAACCTTACCAAAGGGTGAAATTTAATATTTGAATTTGGAGAGGATCCTTTGATAAGGATCTTTTTTCAGTTAAATTCGTTTTAATCGCCTCCCAGTTTTTCTAAACACCGAGTTCAAATTATGATTCCCGTACTTCTTGGTTGCGCTCTCACCTTTCCATTCATCCAAATGAACGTCTGAACATCGCAATTATTTCCTATTCGATTAAACCTTATTATTACGGAATTAACCACGTGCAAATTGCACCCACGTGCGGCATTCCTTTGTGCTAATTGTTATTAACATGGTCCGACGTGGTAATATCACACCCCATTAGAATTCCAATTACAATTAATGTGCAAGTATTTATATTTAAATAAAAACCATGTTATAAGCTAAACTACGGAAATAATGGAGGAATAAGACAACATTATTGGTTGGTAGACTGAGTTGGAGAAAGGAAAGGTAGGGGTGAAGATATATTATCCGTTGTCAGAAGCAGTGGTGGTCGTACACGTATATGTGAGCGGGCGATCATACGTTACGATATTTTAAAACGGCAGGAAATAATCGAGGTCTGGCTAATGTCGGCCAATCGGAAAAATAAAGACAAATGTTTAGCCGAGTTTGGGTCCCCTGCTGGCATAAACGCCACGAGCAGGGACGGTGTGCGCTTGATGGAACGCGCCCCGCACGGATCGAACAAAAAAGAACAAACAAACCGCCGCCGGACAAATTAATAATTGAGTGCGACGACGAAAGTGCGAGAGGACGGCAAAAATGGATCATGTTACACCTTGGACGAATTTGGCGAACTCCTGGAGATAATATCCGATTTGAAATTTAAATGAGGCCGGATTTATCGGAAGCAAAATGCAGCGGCGCGAGAGTTGTCAGAACTACCGATAGATGCTCAACTTGAATTTTTCATTGCACATATTCCCGGCGAATGCAAATACTGAAAACGACGGCAACGTCGGCGTCGACGATCTCCACCGGGACGTCTTAGGATTAGCCGGCACGCCAGCTGTCTCAGCCGCCAATGAGATATTATTTCAATTGATCGTAAATAAGGAGCTTTACCACCGACGCCCGGAGAAACTTACTTATCCTTACCTTTTTTATCCCGACCCCCTTCTTGTCTTAACACGATGTTCCGGCTATCTTCTCGACGCCAAGACACCGTCGGATCCGGGACGCCAACTGCGTGACATCTCAGTCTGACGGTTCCTCCTTCGACCGCTACTCCGCCTCCTTCGGACGATTCGTTGTCGTTCAAAATGTCCGGAGGAATGAACACCTCCAGGTTACCCATCTGGCTCCTCATCGGGTCCGTGTTAATCTGGCACATATACGTACCCGAATCGTTCTTTTGCACGTTCGAAACGTGCAGCTTCCACGTATTATGACCGTTATGAGTCACCGAGAGCCGGGAATTTTGTGCCACCATGTGAGTATGAATTGCTAAAATCGCCTTTGTATCTGACTTGATCCAAGCTACCTAAAATTTTCAGAGAAATGAGTTATAATGGCTAAAACTGTAATGTAGGTGGTTTTAAAATTGAATAAAAGTTGTGGTTGGTGATATAAAGTTGTTATTCGTGAGGAGTGGTAAAAACTACCTGAGATCTAACTTAATTTTGGGGTGGCAAGTACAGTCCGTGACAAAGTTTTGACAACGCCCGAGGGCCCGAAAATACTACGAAATGATTATATTAAGGGACGTCGTCGGTATAAAGAAAATTCAATAAGTGCTCGACGGTACGACTGATTGGGGTCTTTGTGTACTATCTTACGGGGCGCACAATGCAATCAGTCGCGTATAGGCGGTGGGTGATAAACGAAATCACGCGGTGCGATCGTTTTTCGTTAAGTCCCGTCCGCGGTGTGAGATAATGGAGAGATCGGCTTGGAATTTTCGGTAGGACAAGTGAGAGGGTGCTGGGTCAACGCAATTGTCGGCCGATCCCCGATTGTCCTCAAAACGGCCGCCGATTTCAATGGAAACGTAGCACGTAAACGAAACCGAAGCGGCCGGCAAAAAGAGAACGCGAATAGTCCTAGCGGCCGAGTTGGCCAGGAGTTTTATGAAAACTATACGGATCACATTTCATCGGCAAAGCACTTTGGGCAACGTCCAGGGATGCCGGTGTCAGCACCGATTTTGTGTAATATGTTAACCCGGCCGCGAATGCGGCAATTTTACGGGTTTGCCTTCCATAAAAACTAACGGAAATACGCCTGGATCAGCAATAATCGCCACCAAACCTATGGCTCTTCAAAAAATAATAGTCCCAACTTCGTTCTGCGTACCTTGTACGATGACAGGTGATTGACAACACAAGTGAAGTAAATATCTCTCCCTTGTGTCACCGTGTGGTTCTCTAGGGGCGCCAGGAACTCCGGTTCTGGGTCCGTCATTTGACCTGGAAAACAAGAAAACCTACTTATTGTGTTATTCTTTACTCTTTCTTAACATTCGATAGACAATCTCTATTATTCTACTTACAATTTAATCGAAATGTCAACTATATTTAATATTATTTATTTAAAAAGAAAACCACTACCACTACATATTGAGATAGGCAGCCAATATTACATAAGTCACGTGGGTTACAATACTTAATTAACACGCTGTATATAATGAAATATTATCTATATAATATTTTTAAAATAAACAAAATGAAGTAGAATTTAAAAATAGAAAACAAAGAATATTTGAGTGTAAATATCGTTTGAAATGCATCTTGGTGAGTTTGAAAGCGAACGTTAACAAGGTCCCGGCGTTTTGTGGGTTGAATAGAGTGTTTCAAAAGGGTGTAGTGGGAATCCTATTTGATAAGGTTTGTATTTTTCTAGAAATTTAAGAGGTCAAAAGGTGTACACACGTTGCAGGAATAGAAAAATATCGGTTGAGGTTCCTTTGTGGCGCGCCGACGCAAAAATAAATTTAATTTGAAGCGGTGAAAAATTTTATTCTAAAGTGGATTTCCGGGAAGAATGGTAAATCGTAGGAAAAGTAGGGTGTATATATATTATTGGAAGAGAGGAGCGTTAGATAGGGGTAGCTAAGGGAGCTAAGGCAGCAGCCGGAGTGTATCCAAATTCATTGCAGATTTTCAGCTTGTCGGCTCTAGAAAATGGAAGGCTTGAGTGCCGTACCATTCCCCGGGAATGATGATAGAGTTAAAGAAATAATAGGGATTTACCACGGCCCGATTCTGAAATCAATATTGCTTTAAGGGAGGCCGTATGTTTGGCGAGTTTTTCGCTAGTAGCGAAGCACTGAAAACTATTCGCAAGGAAACGGACGTGCCTTGACTTAAAGGCACTGGTGACCCGACGTCCTCGACGGCGCGACACTAAAGCAACCCATATAAAGATATAATAATTATTCGCGAACTGGGGTAACTTTGCCCTCGGGCACGGATTTGAAATCTTTTGATTAACTGCACGATAGTTTTCGCTATTTTTCACTATTAGTTTGTCTCAAAATCACGTGACCTATGCGAAACTTTTTGAAAGAACTTTATTAAAGCTTCGAATTCCTTTCAAGATGAAATTTTCATCAGACGTTATTAATAAATTCTCGATTGTGTCGGAGTTTCGCCGACGCATTATTTTCGCTCCTATCGGAAAATAAATCCGTTAATGTACTAAACGACGGTGTCCCTACATCTTCCATTATCGCGATCAAATCGTGATTTTATTTCATTTTGCGATAGGTTTCAAGTAAATCTACTCGTGCGCATTTTTACTTGGATTTAAACACTTCCTTTAATGCAATTAAGGCTCCGTATTGGATACTATCGATTTTCACATATTACATTTTCCCGTTTCTGTCTTCATTTCCGCTACTCCAGCAAATTCCTATTAAGGCGGAGTTTTAAACACCCAAGAAACTAATACAAAAAAAACGACACAAACGTTATCTCTTTTATTTATTTTTTTTTTTGATATTTAATAAAAAAATTGATTAAACAAAACGGTGTATCCCGCTGAATGCGATCACGTTGTTTCGATTGTCACATGAGACCGGTGACATCCACGATAATATCCGTAAATACCGATAATTTTGTGATGTGTCCAGAAACATCACTAAACTCCCACTTCGGGCTATGTTTATGTCCAGTTAACCTCATAGTAATTGTTCGACATTAAACGTAAAGTTAACGTCAGTTTCATCGTTGTTATTACGATACTTTATCTTACAATACCAATACTGCGATATTGGTTGCATACTTGCAATGATGACGTCGGGTACGATAATTAATTAACACACTGTATTATCGACATTCATTACGTCAAAAAAGAAATCGTAGAATTTGAATTTTGATATTAAAAAAACTTTTTGTAGACAGGAAACATGCTGTAACACGTAAAGGGGTTAAGATTTGAAATTCATGGGGACATGGAAATGGAATCTATTTAAGAGGACGCCCCAAACAGCGGCGAGATCCGTTCGCCGTTTTTACATTCGACCTTGGGAGATGTCTACACGTAGTTCTATCGTAGGACACAGCGTTTGAAATGTAGGAGGAGGACGTGGTAAAGACAGAGATGGTTGGAGGCTTCGGGCGCGGCAGGGTGGCGTGCGGCTGCCGGGGATGATAATTCCGTAGGAATTTTTCCACTTGAAATTCATATTCGGCATTAGGGGGAGGCCGCCGCGAGCCGGGTATTTAAAAGCGGTCCGGGGGCGGCAATAATTGCGGGAACTTTTTTCTCTTCTGGAAATTCGTCACTTCGACGTTGAGGATGTCGTTCGGGGTGAGGCCAGAGGGTTAGAGAAAGGGCCAGGGCGTCGGAAGTCCCGGGGAAAGTCTTAAATAATGTCGCTGGCAGCTCTAATCCGAAAGTCTTCTCTCGTGCACTAAGAGTTGAGAACCTTAAAAGATACTGTACAACCAGAGCTTTTCACAAAGTATCCAGTCGAATGATTTTGCGATTTACTGTGCCAGAAGTGACGTTTCCCGTGAGTGACGGGGTAGGAAGGGTCCGTGCGGCGTCGGGTGTAGGGAGGTGGCGGCGGTGAAGCGTCGGGGACGTCGGGAACGGGGACGAGGGAACCGACGGGATTGAGAGAAGGCGCCGGCACGATACAGTAGGGGGTGGCGCGAACTGAATGCTATCAGACTCTGTTGTTTAAACCGCATCTGTGAAGTTGCACATCAGTACGATAGCGCCGGCCATTCAGGGCACCTTTATACGTTTGACCGAATTCGCGCCGCCGTCACCCTCGTCGACGACACCAGCGCCCCCGTGCGTACTTTCTGGTCCCCTACCCATACTCTCTATCCGATTAAATATTTAATAAGCAACATTCCGATGTAAATAAGTCTCATTTGTCACATTCCGTGCCCGGTACCGTGCCTTCACCAGCCGTCGGATTCACAACAACGACGACTTCCATTTCCTCTTCCGACCCAAAACTTTTTCATACATTTCCGTATGGAACAACTTTCAAAGATCTGATGCCCACTCAATATTTCAAAATACTTCAACACATTCATTTAGTTGATTTAGAAAAATTTTTACCTTTTATATTTTTTAATTCTCCCATCAAACAACATTTAAAAAAAAAAATGGAAAAATGATTTTGCGTCACTGTTCTGTAATTACAGAGTTTAGTTTTTTATTGCGTTCATGACTACCGTAGATGTAAATTATAAATTTAAACGGTTGACATTGGTGCTTACGGCGAAAAATGTAATAATGGAATATTTGAAAAATCAAGTAGGGAAAAAATAAGAGAAGAGATTCGATATTCCACCACCAAAACGTTTTCCCAGCCAAACCGCATTTTCATTTTAAAGACGAAGCTTTTGCTCTTAGTAATTAACTAGAGTGGCCTACACTCAACTTTTCCCGATCATTATATAACGGTTATAACTAACGCGTACAGTGTGTTAATAATTAACACACTTAATAATTAACACACTTAATTTGGGTACGATAATTAATTATTAATTATCGTACCCGACGTCACCATTGCAAGTATGCAACCAATATCACAACATTTGTATTGTAATACGCGATTTGCGTATTTGGTTCCATACACTGTACTTTGAATATGAAAATTAATGAATGTAATAAAAATTATGATTGAGACAAATACATGAATTATGATGGACAGGAATTTTAAGTAACAAATTTAAAAAATATATATATATCTCAAAAAGTAATTGAGATAATATGTAATAAAAGTTAAATGAAATCTAAATATAAAAATAGGTGTTAAAAATAATGTTAAATGTGAGATATATGGGGAAGAGTCGTAACGTGGTAGTTAAATGAGAAAGAAAAATAAATAGACGTGATTTTTGTAGGAGCGAGAGCATTTGCGACCTGTTTTGGCGTAATTGCATTGCGGTTTAATGCGTCCTTTTAATAGTTAAACTTAATCATATGCAGGAACGTGTGATATTCGGTAAAATTCGTTAGTGCTGTGTTCGTAGGTTGGCGCGTGTTGGAGCGGGACGGGTCGGGGGTGGTACGCGGAAAGGGGTTGGCGGTGTTTAACGTGGAACAATTTGAGATCGCGCGGATGCAGTTAACTCAAAAACACTGTGTACGTAAGCCAGGCTCGAGTCTGGCATCCGGTAGTTGAAATTTAATGGTCCGAAACAATGACATAGTCTTCGTTTATTAAGAACCGTTACGCCAGTTGTTCGACGGGGATACTGAATAGCTACGAATGTCTTAATCCGCTAGTAAATTGAGTCTCGGTTAAGTTGGGCCAGCGATTCAAATGATAGCAGAGAACCCTCTCTCCGTCGACCTCTATCTTTCTCTGAAATCCCCCGTCCCTTGGTCGACCTACAACTCGCCGGGAACACACGTCTACACAGAGTCAATCTAAGAGGGCACTGGTCCATAAATGCCAGATAGAAACATGAAACGCGTTTTCAGTAATATCCAACCTTCGCCACGTCTAATACGTCCAGAAATATATTACCATCATCAATTCTTTACAGCTCTTGAATCCAATTCCTTCAAAATTATATTCGTCCCAACAATGGTTTTCCAATTCCTACATCAACTTTTCTTTAAATTCTTCATACATTTTGCGTTTTTTTAAGTTATTTGCTTTGTTTTTTTTTTATAATAATGAGCGGTTCGGTGTGTTGTCATCTGTCAAATTAACAGAAAACCCTTTCTCTTTCAAATACAAATTGGTTTTTATCGATTTCCCGGGTGTAATTCCTTTGTTCTCCGCCACGTGGTCATAGGATCAACTGTAATGGCGGGAAAGTTAAGACTTTATTAAGCAAAAAATTAAAGAAAACAAATGGGGTTGTAAAAAATTGTTGGAGTGAAAAAGGGTTGAGTTCGAACTTCAGAAAATCCGTTTCACGAACGCGTTTAGTGCAATATTAAATTCCTAAAATATCAGCGTATCGATATTGCGCTAACACCCCTTCGGCATTGCTTTAAATAACCTCCTAACTATTTAGTGTCACCGTTGCAAGAATGTTCGTAGCGGGACCGGTGCATGCGGGGCCGTCGAGACCTCCCGTTTGGTCCCCCCTTTTCCAGGGTGGGCTCATCCCGGATACCCTATAATTCAGTGTCACCCTAGCGGAATCAACAAATTAGTATTGCAGCTACTCCGACATCACTAATCCTGGATTAAGTAAGGTTTTAACGCAGCCCCGCAACTGTACCAGGCAATCGTTTCAGCCCCGAAACTCTTCTCTCTATATAACTTTATACGCCGGCGAAATTGCAAAAAGTACATTTACCAACTATGCTCTCAGTTTTCCATTACGTATTCATTCAAACAAACGGTACTTGGAACGGATTTTCTCTTCGAATACGACACAACCGCCGAAGAAGAAGAAGGTTTAAAGCCAAAACTTTCTTCAATATTAATTCTTCATTAGAAAAAATAATAAAATAATTGTTTCGGCGATGATAGTAAGGAAACGTGTTTGGTTGCGAGGATAATGCGGATCGTTCTTGAACAATAGTCCACTAAAATTAGTGTATCATGCACTGGAACTTCCTATTGTTTCCCCGGCTATAAACCAAGAGCATTGTAGCATAATTTTCGATCAGATATTGTCCATCGTTCGACGTTTAATCCATTGAAGCCGTTGGCGAGAGGTTGGGGCAAATTGTGGCGAAAAGAGCACAACGGCGGATCGAAAAACTGTAATAATCTGTGTTTATCTTCGGCGTTAAATATTCATTGTGACCTCAAAGTTCATATTAGTTTATGAGATTTGTTCGAGGCACTTGACGACACGGGCGGGTCGCGGAAGCGAAATAATTGATGGCGCGTTGTCGGCGAGCTCTGTGGGGTTTTTGGCGTGGGTTTTCGAGCGTAGAAAGTTTGTAAATCCTGTCTAGACATCGAACGAAGTACTGAGGTACGAACTACTCGAAGCGAATTCCTAATTTCTAATCGAACACTCTTTTAATTTTATGTGGTGGTTACAATTACCAGTTCTTGATTTCCACAAAAGTAACAACCCCTAAGTAAAGAGGCTTAACGTTGGTCGGAGGCGTGACGTTCAGGACCGGGCCGGTCCACTTATCCGCATCGCGAAATTTGCATGACCCCGTGAATGTTGGGCCTGGCTGAATAGCAATGGATTAATCGAGTGGTGAGCGAACTGCTATCAGGCCTGTGCATGCATCCCCATGATGCTTTTAATATTAGCATTGTATCTGTTAGTCCGCACGTTCGTTCCCAGAAAGGCAGAATCAAATTCGTTATGTTCCCGAGAAAATATCGTTTCCATTTTGATTTTTTGAAATAAATCAAGAATCATTCTTAAAAGTATTCGATAAGAAATCAGACAAAGGAGTTTCCGCGCAACCAAAAACAAGATAGTAAAAAGCGGTTGGTCCATCTGGTTCACTTTGATACAATGTTGGGCGCAACAGAACTTCGAGCGAAGGAACTCGGATATAGATGGCGAGGAGGAAAATTGAAAGGTTCTTTCTCTTTGCAAAAAATGTCCAAACCATAATAAACCCCGGAGTTATTTTTCCACGTAACGTGCCATGGAAGTGGAGGAGGGGGAAAGCGGATTCGATCTGGGGCCGTGCGGACCGTAATCGGCGGGTCTGAAACCGCAGCCTGGTTGAGCCCGTGACATTTAATCTTACAAAAATAAATTACGGGACAAAAATTATTACCCCAAAATGCCTAGATGTACGTGAAATGGGGGTTAAACACCCCTTCTTTGAGTGCATTGGCGCCGAAAAAGTAACTAGCGGTCCGAAAATATGATCCGGGGATTTAGTAAGTCCCAAGAATTATTTATACTTACTAAAAAGGTACTTTTATTATGTTGCGGAGATTTTAACGTTAATTAAGTTTTATGGCGGACCGATAACTTCACCAAGTTTTCGCTTGAAATTCGAAAGTTTTGAGCCCTCGTCCGCCCGTAGATCGATTCCCCACGTATAATCTACGCACAGGCAAGGAAATTAAGATAAGTTTCGTTACGTGACACTGCAGACAATGGACATTGTGATCGTGTCACATTTGGAGACGCGGTGCCATCTACCGCTAGTGGAGGAAACGTTGCTGGTAAAAGATAAGCTTCCCAAATTAACTTCCTTTAATTTTCAGTGTTTAGAAAATCATCCTACGTGCAGGCTCGACGACTCTCCCATTTCCCTTTAGCTCCCAACGGTTAATCCACTTTAAAAAAAAAATGTCAGAGTGACGCCGAGGAACGTGCAGAAAAGCGCCAAACCGTTGGGATTCATCGTATTGGCACCGGGTTCGCGACAGTGTTTATTTAATATTTGCAGCCGTTGCCTTGTCCACTGACGCATGGAATCCCACCATTTCGGTAACTAAAACAAAAGATTAACAGGATTAGTGCATCGGGGCTGTTATCATAAAGTAAAGTTTCTTGTAAAGATACGTCAGGGTGGATCCATAGAATTAGTCTGAGGGAATGGAAGGAAGCGAGAGCTTTACCACCAGCGCCGGTAGCGTTGGTATTCAATCCAATAACAAACGGTCCGCATTCGCATTCATATTGCGTGAATTATTTTGATTGTGCTCGACGACAAAGTTTGCTCTGTGTAGGGAATTTATCTGACAGGGTAAGGCGCTTCGTCATGCCGAGCCGTGGTATTGGTCCCGCCCCCAACACCTGCGACAAGGAGTTGAACCACTTATACCAGGGGGGTCGCGAACGATTGAAAAGGGCCACTTTATTATTGCACCTAAGCACCCTACGGGCCCTGCGTTTTCCCGGCTATTAATAAAATCAAAGCCTAACAGCGGAGAATGAAAACGTCGAAATAAAAACCGGCGCCCCCTTAAGTCGAAATCCCATTTCATTGCGGACTTTGGACGTCGTAATAAAACCGGTAATCGATATTTGAGTACCGTTTTACGTACTTTGTTCCATTCGCGAACAAGAGCGGGGGGTAAATCGAAACCGGGTTCGGGTGGTTGGTTGGCTGACGCGATTTCTGAAAATTTACACTGTATAGCGGTGACCATAAAACTTGCCCGTCACCCTCTTTGAACAGGTATTTAAATAGTTCCGCGTTACAACCGGAATACCCATAAATTCCCTTGTTTACCCTTATGCCAACTTTACTCCGTTTCAAAAATTTCAAATCACATTTCTCTATGTGCTTTAAATGAACCCCCATAAACACACCAGGGAATTAGGACTCCAGCTAATAACGTTGTATATATAGACTCAATACAAGTTAAAGAATAGACTTGAACGTCCATCAGGTTCCTGTTAGGAACTCATTGCCGCTCATTATCGACGAAATTCAATTTCCACCCATTTGAGCGAAGCAGGAAACAATCTCCCGAACATTAAATTATTCTCTGAGGTGGAAGTTTAGTTTAACTGACCTGTTAGGAGCATTAGCAAACAGAGTTGTCAAACAATTACAGATTGTTTTAGTTTTAGTTAAACGTCAATACAGTCGAGGCGGTACGGAAATTATTCAAAATATTCCCTCCCTTAACGCAAACTACTTTGGGGCATTGCTGCGCGACCGGATATCTTGAATAATTGCGACGCCCCTTCGTCTAACACGTATGAACAGGACAAGTGATAAAGGAATACCTTCCCACGAGATGCTTCGTCAGGACTTCTCTTTGATCCCAACTATGTTAAATTCTAATCATAATATGCTACATCCAATAAAATGGGCAAGATGCAGGTGCCGGAATACAGGTGTTTCGGTTCGTTCGGGGTTGGGGGATACCTAAATCCGGACCGACCCCGTCTCCGGCAAAATAGATGCATCACGGGGTTAATCTCGTAATAAAAAATGAACCAGGCCACCGCGGAGGGTTGTTTTAACGTTAAAAGACCCTTTTAATTTTCCTCAAAACGGCAAGCGCGTTGTGGTATTTGTCAAAAAAACAACAACATTTTATATGTTTCTAATTCATAATTAAACAATTAATGTATAGCTCGAAATTGCTTTTTGTACTATGTTGTAGGCCTATAATTGAAAATATTCTTGTCCAAATTAATTGTTTTGTATCATAGTTGTGTATCTCATCCTTGGTATGTTCAAGATATTAGCCAGTCAAAGTCTTCAAGATATAAATTTGGTTTGAAATATACAGGGTGATTCATTAGCTCTATGACAAACTTTGGCAGATGAAAGGTGATGCGATTCTAAGGAAAAAATGTTATATGAATATGGGTCCGATTCATTTTGGTTAAAGAGTTACAAGCCTTTGAAAATTTTACACAGTTTAATAGGCAAATGAAAATGTAACATAAAAAATAAGTTTAAAAATTACAAAAATTGTTCGAAATGTCCGCCTTCAGCTTGAATGCACGCCTCACATCGACGAAGTAAAGATTCTATCACACGACGTATGATATTTGGATCATTCCGTATGCTATTAGCTGCATCTTGAATTCTGTCCAGTAGTTGCTGACGGGTAGTAATTTCTACATGGTACACAAGCTGCTTCATGTGTCCCCAGAAATAATAATCCAGCGGATTTAGATCTGGGGATCGTGGTGGCCAGACTACTGGACCTCCATTGCCAATCCATTTGTTTGGAAAATGTTCATGTAACCAAGCGATGACTTCTCTTCCTCGATGTGGTGGTGCACCATCGTGCTGATACCACATATTTTGAACGATGTTAAGTGGTACGTCGTCGATAAAATCGAAAAGGTTATGTCCCAAGAAATTTCTGTACATATTTGCATTTAAGCGTTCATTTATCACCCATACAGGTAGCAAAGAATTGTTAAAAATGCCACCCCAAACGTTTACACTAAACCGTTGCTGAAATCTTCCTGGTCTAATTGCATGTGGATTTTGCAAGGACCACACATGTTCGTTATGATAATTATTTATGCCGTCCCTAGTGAAACACGCTTCATCAGACCACAGAACTTGGGAAATTAAGTTATTATTTTGAGCATGTTGCTGAATAATCCAGTGGCAAAATGCTAAGCGTTGCTCAGTATCTCCAGGATGTAATGCTTGAACATTTTGGCGATTCAATACACGCCATACAAAACTTTGGGATATTTGTAACATGCTCGCTATACGCCGAGTACTAATTGAAGGGTCGTCAAGTACTACATCAATAATACGTTCTTCATTTTGTACATTCACATCATGGGGACGAACGGAATGTAGTGGAGCGGGGTTACCTGTTTCTCTCAGTCTGCGAAATGATGCACTAAACACTGTATGGACAGGTTGATGTCTATTTGGAATCCTACGAAGGTATTCTCGGTAACATTTTTTCCTTAGAATCGCATCACCTTTCATCTGCCAAAGTTTGTCATAGAGCTAATGAATCACCCTGTATATTGATAAGATTCTTGAAGATGAGATTATATCTCGAAACTGGGGATGAATTTATCAACTCGATATTATTAAAGATAAATAATAATAATTTTTCGAGTAGTAGTCACAAATGGAAGTTTGGAGGTGATTTTCGATCTGGTTTGAAATTTAGGTTATAAACCATTGTACCTGAATTCAAACGGTATTGTCCATGTATTGTTGTGGACGCATTGCCACGTTTAGGCTATGATTGAAAGGGGATTACGTAGTGCTTGGATTTTACCGGCGCATTTTGATTTTGGGAAATAACTCGGCCGAGCGGAAAAAGCGCATTCGGAGGGATGCGAATTCAAACTTTCGGACAATTATGCGTATAATTTAGGACGGAGAGGTAGTTTTTGCGACGACGCGCCGTTTAAACTGTTTCGCATATTTTGCGCGATTCAGAGCGAAACTTTTTCCAGGGACCTAAAGCCGCGCTACCAGGAAAGTTTGTTCAGCGCGGGGCGGCCGACTTAAACCAAGAGTGCACGATCGCCGCGCGCTTATCTATACGTCCAGAGTGTACATATCGGTTAAATGGCAATTTGCCCAGTTAAATTAATCGTACACGTTTGTACGTTTGTTTGTACACAGGGCGTAGACCACGGTATCGCGTGGGACCAAGCTTCAGCTCCGCGTTAACCACAAGCAGTCTACGTTCTGCTGACTAAGACGTATTAGCGTTCCTTTATTGCATTTGTAGCCCACATTTTCCATTCATAAAGTATCTTACCCTTGGCACCCAATCAATTAAGCTTCCCCGGTGGTGGAAGCTCTCTCGTCAACACGCACGTCTGTCGCTAGCACATCTCCTATCCAACCAAACATAGATTCCCTTCACCCAAATTACACTGAATATACATTTATATCCATTTATAATACAGTGCGCCTCCGACGCGCGCGAATATCTATGCATCGACTCCGCGCCGTAGATGTTCTCGACGTCGACTATTCCTACACACGGATTGTCTCCATTGCTCCGTTCTAATTAACTGTAAACTCAATTAACTTTCCACGTTTGCCCACTGCAAATCCTACGGTAGAGGGTTTGATCTACCGAATACGACATCCTCGAGGAAAACAATCCTCAAATTATTATTTCCCTCATGGCTGATTGAATTTGATCATTTTTAAACGTTCGTAGTTTTTTATTAAAAAGAATGTTAATTGAAAGATTACGACGTTTCTTTACTTACGTAGTAAGGAAACTAAGAGAAGGAAAATGAGGAAATAGGACCAAAGGATTTGTGTTAGAAATGAAATTGGGATATTGGGGGGAAAATCGATCGGGATCCTGTAAATGGCAGTCTTGGAAATAATTCGAGATCAATATAGAAGGGAAACGGGAACGAGCGTAGAAAAACAGACCGTCAGCGAGCAAACGAGCAAATGATGTGGTCAGTAAAGGGCCAGTCGATATATTGGCAGCGTTTTATACAGCGGTTAGTTGGGAAGACCGTCGGAGCGGAGTTGGAAAGCAAATAGCCGAGAATATTAGAGCGAAAAGAGGAGGTCGGAGGCTGCAGGAAGCAATTGCGAGAATCATTAATTTAAAAGCTACATATTGGGGTGTTTTTGTGGTGTAATGCTGACTGTTGTCTGCAGATGGCACCGTGATAGAACACGCTACGGCGAGAATTGATGAGTCGAGCCGCCCGCGGACGTCAAATGGAGCCGGAGCATCTGGCAATGGAGCACCAAAAGTAACGCTGAGCCGTAGAGCTCTACATGTGCCGTCCATAGCTGTGACCTGTCACTGCCGAACTGCAATTTACTGCCCCTTTTTATGATCTTATGTTGGGCCGTCATTTAAATATTCGGCCCTTCTTCTCCACTGTATTATTTACTGTCGGATCGATATACCGTTATCGTAACTATTCACCCTTGGCCGTCTCCAATTCCAAGCCCCTTCGCCTGCCACGCTCTCTCCGTAATCCCCCAGCCGCCCCACGCGCTGCCGTCCGGCACGGACCGATTGATAATATCGCTCCTTTCATCAAGCTTTA